CCCAGCCGCCACGGTCGCTAGGGGGTGACGGAGAGCGCGCAGAGGAAGCGGCACCCTGTCAGCCGGCCGAGGGCCGTTTCTTCTTTACCTGCCATGTCGCGCTGCAAATGATGGTCCTGCCGGGCTCCTCGGGGTCTCCGCGACCGGGGCTCAGCCCCCTCACCTGGGGATGGGGGGATCGAGGGCGCGGATGGAGGCGGATGGCACCTGAGGGGGGAGGGGACGGGGACCGGGGCGGAAGGGAAGCGGCCCGGGTGGAGAGGCCGGCAGGATGGTGGCTTTCACTCCGGGGCGTCCCCTCTCGTGCTCCTTCTCCCGCGGTGTTGGCGGCAGCAGTAGCGGCGGCGGCAGCGGCTACGGCAGCGACGGCGGCCGCGGCGGCAGGGGTAGGCGACTCCACTTTCAAAATGGCGCCCGCTGGCAGGCCGGTGACGTCACTCCAGGGGGCGGAGCGCCTTTGGGACGGGCCGCGTTGTGTTGGCCACGCCTCCTTCCTGCCGCGCTCTCGCCCCGCCCTGCCCGCTGAGACCCTGCGGAGAGCCCTGCGCTGAGCCTGGGCGGTGGTTAATTGCTCTGGCGGTGGGCTGTGCCAACCTGGTCCACGGTGCCCACGTGGGCCACGGCCTGGCATGTCTGCTCCTCACTCTGTCCCAAGCCCTTGCACCAGAGCTGGGACTCAGGGATGGTCTCATCTGTCCACTTATTCTCACCCACAGGGTGAGCTGGCTCTCTCTGGAGAGAATACCCCTTTGATGCTCCAGTGACACTGTCGGTGAGCCCCAAGGACTCACCCACAAAGTAAAGGGACAGTGATGCATACTCGCTGCCTGGCCAAGGTTAGAGTTCACAGAGCCCAGAAGGACACAACTGGGCAGGTTCCATCTGGGTGAATTAGGTTACCTTCCCGTGGATGAGAATTCTTGGCTGCTGCAAGCAGTTAAGAATGGCTCCAGACAGGAAGCTGAATGTGTTGTGAATGGCGCAAAAAAGCAGCCCGGGTTTGTTTAGATAAAAGTGGTAAAATCAATGATTAAGAAGCTATGTTCTGCTGATTGTGGTGATACATGCCTACAATCTCGCAGCACTTGAGAGGTGAATGCAAGAGGCTCCAAATGTCAAGGATGGCTGAACTGTGTAATGAGTTTGAGGCTAGCCTAGGCTATCTATATGAGACCCTGCCTCACATACAATCATCAAACAAACAACAACAAAAAAAAACCAACTAAATCTATTTAAATGTAGCCTCTTCCAATCAGATTTCTCTGACAGTTTCTCTCATTTCCTACTCACGGTTAACTAGGTTGGATACCCTCGTTTGATACTGTCGGGGTGATGGTGGTGGAGGTGGTGGTACACTCCTTTCCCAGCTCTCAGGAGGCAGAAGCAGGCATATCTCTGTGAGTTCGAGGCTAGCCTGGTCTACGGAGCGAGTTTCAGGACAGTCAAAAGTATACAGAGAAACCCTGCCTCATCTGGGGGGTGGGGGGTGATGGAGGGGAATGAGGGGAGAGACTGTCAGGTCCAAAGAAAACTCCAATTCCCCAAACTCCAAAAGGCAGCCCAAATATCAGGAAATGAGCTTAATCTGGACTATAGGAGGATTTCTGGCAGTTAGATTCAAGAAAAAAATCAAACAGACAGCATTCCCAAGGAACTTATAAAGTCAGTTCCCCTCTACCCAAAAAAAAAAAATGTCATTTCCCTCACATCTGGCAGAAAAGACATATGGCTACCTGTGGTGCCTATCAGCATAGCAAAGCACATGCTGGTATCACTGGTACATCTTACCCAATTTCAGAGTCCATGCTAGCATCCTAGCCTTTCTCACCTCTCCCCTACCCTCAGTCCCTCCAGCTCTCAGGGTCTCCTTGCCCAGCTACTCCTTCTCCTCACAACCCTGTTATTCTTACCAGGCTTTCTCTAATCTCCATTCCCTGTTGTTCTCCCCTCTCTGACCTTGTTCAGTCTACTTCTTTCTCCTTCTGCTCTGGGTTCTTCCAGATGCTTCTGGCTGTGCGTTCTCTCTCTCATCTACAATAAAACCCTCCCCTTAACCATACTGTGAAGCGGTCATGTTGTCAGTTTATACAAATAGTCTCATAAAGTATACTGCGCTTTTCTGTTTTTGTAAACCACATTAAAATGATCTCAGTCTGTGTCTGTTATTACACTGAATACTTTGAGGCTAGGAAGTATGTTCTTCGCTTCCCTATCACCAGCTACATAATTCATGGGATTAATGGATGAATAAATAAAGTCTTTATGACTTGGGAAGAAAAACCACTTGAATGTCAGCTCCTTAAGGTTTACCATATTGTAAAAGTTTTCACTCACTCATCTTTTTTCAATGTTTTTAAAATTTTATTTTATGTGTCTGAGTGTTTTTCCCTCGTGTATGCATGTGTACCTTGTACATACCTGGTGCCCTCAGAAGTCAGAAGGGAGGGTCAGACCCCCTGGAACTGGAGTTACAGACAGTTGTGAACCGCCAGGTGGATGCTGGGAACCAATTCCTGTTCCTCTGCAAGAGCAGTAATTGCTCTTATCTGCTGAGCCAACTCTCACTCCTAACTCTGGAAGGAAAAGACATATTATAAATCATCTTGGTGGTCTCACCTACATTTATTTGTTTTGGGGGGTTGTTGTTGTTTTGTTTTGTTTTGTTGGTTTTTCAAGACAGGATTTCTCTGGATTGCTTTGGAGCCTGTCCTGGAACTAACTCGCTCTGTAGATCAGGCTGGCCTTGAACTCACCTGCCTCTGCCTCAGGAGTACTGAGATTAAAGGCTTGTGCCATCAATGCAGGCCTTTTAAGAGACTCCGGTTTCTTAATCATGGCTAATTTCTCAGCTACAGCTGACAAGCCCCGAGCACCCCAACAAAACAAAGGTTTCACTTTAGCGGTTCTTGCTAAGCACAGCTGATTCTTCAGCCCCAGAAGAATTCGGTTCCCAAAGAAACCAGAATCACAAATTCTTCACAAAATGGCAGTAGAGCCTTTGCTTCCCTCTGAAATGTCACAAGCCAGTCCTCCATCATCTACACTGCTCTCAACGCTCGTATCTTCCAGGCTCCTACAAAACAGCCCCCTGAGCTCTCAACATACAATGGCTTTTTCCAAAATTCCAAAGTCCTTCTACAATTCTCCCCAAACCATGGTCAGGTCTGTCACAGTAATACCCCCACTATACTGGCACCAGTTTGTTGTAGTTGGGGTTTTAATTGCTGTAACAAAAAAAAAAAAAAACAAAACATCATGACTAAAAAGCAAATTGGAGGGAAAAAGGTTTATTTGGCTTACACTTCCCACATCACAGTTCATGACCAAGGGAAGTCAGGACAGGAACTCAAGCAGGGCAAGATAAATAAAAGAGGCAGGAACTAATAAAGAGGCAACGGAGGGGTGCTGCTTACTGACTTGCTCCATATGGTTGGCTCAGCCTGCTTTCTTATAGAACCCAGAACTACCAGCTCACGGGTGGCACTGTCCACAATGGGCTGGACCCCCCCCCCATCAATCACTAAGAAAATGCCTTACAGGCTTGCCTACAACCTAATTTTTATAAAGGCGTTTTCTCAACTGAGGGTCCCTACTCGCTGATGACTCTAGTTTGTGTCAAGTTCACATAAAACTATCTAGCATATATGACCAGAGGAGAATCACTGAAGAGTTATTACTTTACCTGATGAAACAGATTTGGATTGGGATTAATGCAAGCCCTTCCTTATTAAAGTTGTGGTGAGACTGGAGAGATGGCTTGATTTAGAGTACTGGCTGCTAGCACTTCCAGAAGACCTGGGTTCAGTTCCCAACACCCGCATGGCAACTCACAACTGTCTGTAACTCCCGTTCCAGCGGATCAGACACCATCACACAGACATACATGCAGGCAAAACACCAATGCACATAAATAAAATATCAAAAAAAAAAGAAAGAAAAAAGAAGTGGTATCCTTTGGTGGCTTCTGTTCTCCAGGTGGTTACATTAAGAGTGTCCAAGTAAGACCGTGAATGTAAAACTAACAGCTGACATCCCAGACAGCTACTAGGACATTCTTGAGCTCCAGACCAGCCTAAGCAAAGTATGAAGGCTTCTATTTCAAAAATAAAAAAAAAAAACAATAGAAAATAAAGACATTAATCTGTTTTAAAGCCAAACACAGCAGGGCATACTTGTAATCCTAATACTTGGTAGGTTCAGAAGTTCAGAATCATCTTTGACTACACAGTGAGTTAGAAGCCAACATGGACTCCATGAGATCCTGTCTATTAGAAAAATAAATTTAAAGAGAGGGTGAGGGGGGAAAGGGAAAAAAAAGAAGAGAAAAGAGGGAGGGAGGGAGGGAGGGAGGAAAGAATGAGAAGACAAGGGGAAGTGTGGGGAGTAAAGAAATTACCAGAACCAGGGAGATGGCTCAGTGAGTAAAGTGTTTGTCAAGCGGGCATGAGAACCTGAGCCCACATCCCAGCATCTACCTTTACAAAAGCCAGGCCTGGCAGCAGCTTGCATGTGTCTATAACTGAGCACTGGGAGGTGAGAAACAAACGAAAACTTACTGGCCAGCCTGTCTAGCTGTATTGGTAAAGCTAGGTTCAGTGAGGAAAGCCGGTCCCAAAAAATAGAGGACAATTGAGAAAGATACCCAATGTCTACCCGGGGTCATTGTCCCTCCCTCCCTCCCTCCCTTCCTCCTTTTTTCCCCCTCTCTCCTCCACAGGCACACAAATTAACAAAGCTTAGAATGCTGGCCAAGCCAAACTTAATGCTTGGAAGGCCTGAAACAGTTGCTAGGTCTTTACAGGAAACAGTATCAACTTTTCACATCTTTGTTACAAACTTGGCCTGAAAGTTGCTCTCCTAAAGCTAGGAGGAGTCTGCACTGTAACAGTAATCATACAAAGGTATTCAAGACATAGGATTCACTTTTTCAAAATCACTGGTATTCTACCCAGAAAAGCGTTTAACAAAAACAACAGTGAATCTACCAGATTATAGTCAAATGCTTGTTTAAAAAAACAAATAAGGAAGTTGCTGAGACTCAGAAACAGGATACAGAACTCGTATACAATATGACTTCCCCAGTATGTACAACCAACTCAAAATCTGTAGATTCCTTGCAGGAAGGAAATTCACGACCATGTTCACAACAACATCTCTGGGCACAGACACGATGGGTGGTCATTTCCTCCTTAGCCAGTCGGGTTCTCTAAATAGTGCATATTTGGTGTATATCAATGAGAAGGAAGTATCTTAATTTTAAATTCATTCTAGGAAAACCAGATGGCTCCTGCAGTATAGGTCCTTGCCACCTAGGCTGATGACCTCCCTTGTATCCCTCAGACACATATGGTGGAAAGAAGGCAACTCCTGTGAGTTAACTGTTGACCTCCATACATGTATCATACTATGAGCAAGAACACACACACGCACACACAGATT